TTGTCCATCAGTTGTAGACGTGGGCGTTGTTTCATCATGAACCATATCGTTGTCCATCAGCTGTAGACGTGGGCGTTGTTTCATCATGAACCATATCGTTGTCCATCAGTTGTAGGCCTTGGCGTTGTTTCATCATAAACCATATCGTTGTCCATCAGTTGTAGACGTGAGCGTGGTTTCATCATGAACCATATCGTTGTCCATCAGCCGTAGACGTGGGCTTCGTGTCGTCAGAAACCCTACGCCATAATCGAGACGTTGCAGACGTTGGTGTTTTCAATTGTATTCAGATTTTAACAGTTGGGTCTTCTCATTTAAAGATTTGGTGTTAAAAAGCCAAACAATTTGAACTTTTACGCGAACTGCCGGCTACCTCGGAGATAGTTTCATCAGTTATATAAGATCAGCTACCACCCTCTTTCTGCCAACCGTGATCAATATGACGTCATTGCCAGGCGCGATCTGGTTAAGCCAATTTGATCTTTCCTTTCAAATGCCTGTGTAAATCATTGTTTTGACAACAGTAAGAAGTAGGTGTCAGGATAATTTAATCATCCCCCCATAACGAAGATGGAATGATGTACATAAAGACTCGTATTGGCAGGCTGTCTGCAGCATCAGTAACGACAACCGACAACACAACGACTACCTGATTAGTGAGATGAACGTGCAGATCTTGAGTTCAACGATTAGTGCAAGGGAAGCACAGTAGATTTGTCTGTTAGAAAACTCAATGGTTGGCTGCAATGGTAAATACGCGAGCCCATATCGGGACAGCGCATTTAAGGTATAAGAAGTTAATTGCCTCCCGTGTTGACTGCTGTTAGAAAGATGGGCCAATTATTACAATAAAAAGTTTGGTTGAAGTTGTATGTCCCTTGGTGATGGTGCGGGTACTTCATCTTATAGTATTTCTTTGATTGGGATTCAATCTGGAATTGAACGGCATTGTGAATAATGAGGTATATGTCTCCCTTTCTACTGACAGTGTTATGGATAATGATTGCCTGAATGTTGAAGGATATATTGAGGGAAGTGGTAATATCATGCTCGCTCCCATCACTCACGCGAGTCACGTGACTCACCAGAAGACTCCAACGAACGCTGGACGTTAATAATCAGACAGGTGTTAATGCATTGGTTGAACATTTCTGATTGAGCTTTATGATATATATCCAAACGCTTTGAAGAATACGTTCTTATTATCGCTTTTAATATAAAACGTCAACGCCAGAGAATAATCTCGATTATCCGTCGGCACAGATTCCATTAGGCGTAAAAAGCAAAATTGCGGTGAAAATTATATGAATGGATCACTGAAAATCAGTGAGGACGTGTCCGCGAAAAGGGTAAGCGTTCCATACTTTATTGAAATATGCATCTCTGAGGACTATTTCAGAGTATTTCCCTCAGTTTTATCTGTTTTAGTTGGGTCATGTCGAGATCCGGTCCTGGTTGGGTCATGTCTCAGTCCGGTCCTGGTTGAGTTATGTCTCAGTCCAGTACTGGTTGGGTCATGTCTCAGTCCGGTCCTGGTTGGGTCATGTCTCTCTCCGGTCCTGGTTGAGTCATGTCTCAGTCCGGTCCAAGTTGGGTCATGTCTCAGTCTGGTCCTGGTTGAGTCATGTCGAGGTCCGGTCCTGGTTGAGTTATGTCTCAGTCCGGTACTGGTTAGGTCATGTCTCAGTCCGGTCCTGGTTGGGTCATGTCTCTCTCCGGTCCTGGTTGAGTCATGTCTCAGTCCGGTCCAAGTTGGGTCATGTCTCAGTCTGGTCCTGGTTGAGTCATGTCTCAGTCCGGTCCTAGGTGGGTCATGTCTCAGTCTGGTACTGGTTGGGTCATGTCGAGGTCCGGTCCTGGTTGGGTCATGTCTCAGTCCGGTCCTGGTTGGGTCATGGCCCACTCCGGTCCTGGTTGGGTCATGTCTCAGTCCAATATGTTCCACGTCATTCACCGCATAGCTTTTCAATTACATCATTGTTGGATTGACAACATGAGAAACAACAGAAGACTACACCTTAGGACTAGACGGTTTGGAGGCAGGGTGCGGCTGTAACGGGGGGTGGCTTTTGGCGAGACTGAGGGTGTGGCTGTGGCTAAACAGGCAATATTGGTCACCGTTTCAAGGTAATGTAATGTATACTGATATCAATAAATTGTGATTCCGTGGCATTTGAAAACGAAAAGAAATTGCCCACGCCCAATAACATACAACTGTTTCCTGATTGGCTGATAATAGAATGGGCGGGGCTTGTTTTCCATTATGTCCTGAACGACGCCCACTGATTCGTGTTGTAGTCTACAATAAGCGGTCACTGAATTTATTATCGTAACATATTGTTTTTCCACACGGTTTTGCTTTTATGTAGCTAAGAAGCGCGCACATGTCACAAATCAAATGAAGTTAAGCAATGCTGGTGGCGGAGAGGTGTTGGATGGGTGAAAGTGTTCGGCAACTTGACACTTGAGAGTTTCATGGGATTCGGTCCTGACCAACACTGAAACAGGTGTTACATGTGTTGTCTCCAAAGGAAAGTGACTTGTCAGTGGGCATTTGATTGCCATGGTTGCGTTAAAAAAATATCTGTTGTGTACTCATGGTTTTCTTCCTATATTAATAAAACAAACAGCCGCAACAAAGAGTGGAAGTAGCTTGTTTACAGAGTTTTAGCAGAGGTCAGTCAGATACCCTTGGAAAAGCAACGTTTTTCGAAATATTCCTCTGTTCGCCAAGCAGTGAATGGGTACCCGGTAGGATGAAGTGGTAATGTGGCTGTAAACATATTATCTCATAAGCCTGCTTGGGTTGTATACTCCCCGGGGAGTTGAAAATTAAATTCGCGTGCACACGGATCCACTGCCTAGGGTAATTATAATGTAGCTACACGAGCATTCACTTGGGAATGGAATATGGCGCATTAGAAGTGGACCTATTATAACGTAAAAAACCAGTGTGCACACTTTGCGTAAATACTCAACTCGGAATTACACAGTATGCACGCCGGTATTTAAGTTTATACCTCTACAAACGCAAAGAAATATTGACGTCAGGTCTTAAATATTCCCAGCTGACGTCCCCGTGGAGAGTGCCCTGACACAGCTACAACGTCTAGGTTTCATGGAAGATTGCCAATTTCCGGTAACTCCAAATATTACCATATTCACTTTGGCGTCACCGGAACAACCTTGGACATGCTTGTCGGAGAAGTTCCTGTCATCCAATCGATGCCAAATGATCGACTTATCCGATTAGTGTTACGTAAGGACAATCAGCCCATCTATAAGCCGAGTAATTGGTGAGGCACTAAAACCGATATTGAAGATTATGATATTCCATTTGGGCGTCTCTTCCCACCCCGATATGTCCAAGTTTATTCTGGTAGGCACGTTCTGGTGATTGCATCCACTCTGCGTCTCGGCTGGGTGTCATCCGTTATTTCCTTTAGGTGTGATGTCATGTTGAGTGATCAATTTCACCGTGTTTTCCTTTGCCAGATGGCCAAATGCAAGAATGGAAACTTTCCATCTGGGCGAGAACCTTCTTACAAAAGAATGTGGGTTTTGACGCAGGGGGTATTTGCACTGAAAACAGCGTTTCATCATTGATCGGGGAATTTCTGTTTTGTTTAAATGCAAATTAAACGTTAAAGAGGATCTAGGCCTGAGCCAATTTGCAGTCTGATTCAAGTCATTTTAACACCATTTTCCATGTCAGCGAACTCAAATTTTATGGTGTCGATCAATCTTGCAATAAGCGATTACGTTAATTACACTGAGACAATGTGTCAATTTCACACAGGCACTAATTGCAACGTCTAGACCTGGACTAGAATCGGGCTCCAGTCGGTGGAACCAAGTGTCTCTTTAACGAAAATGGCAACCGGTAAATATCCTCAGAAGGTATGCAAAGCATCCGTTATTCTATAGATGTTCTTCACAAACACTTCCAGCCCGATACTTTCAGCTTCACGTCCTCGCTCCTATATGCTATATATTTGATGGGTGTCGTGTGATGAATCCACACCGATAATCTGATACTGCGTCTGCATATTGATGATCAGGTACCACCCAACAGTGCCCTCACACTGCCTTCGTGAATACCCGAGTAAATCCGAACCGAGTCGAATTGCGGTTTACGGAAATAAACGAGCGCTGACGACTAACATTTCTTTCCCAGTATGGATTAGAAGTCTAATGCTCATGACTACCAACCGCTTCAGTGGCAAATTTTCCACTAGTATTGCTCTATGTGTTCCGAAATACCTAGAAATGGGATTTTACACACTACGTATGGGTGCCCCTGTGATGATTTGTTATTGTGGCCGATTCTATCAAGAAAAATCGTCATTGCCTCTCGTAGATTATTCCAAATGAATCTGAGGAGGTGAACCCGACCGTATACATTAAATACCAGTTACCTCTTCCATTATAAGCGTGAGTCAGCCCAAAAAATACCACTATGTGCCTGTACCAAAAATCCTTAGCGAATTTATCAATATCATTTTCAATTGCATACTCGTTAATACTCTCTAAATAAACACCCTCGGTGATTTCCAATAGGTATACGTTTTATGTTCGCCAATCAGGAAGCGCCCTGGGCGGACGGTGTCGTTAATTTACATATTGGCTGATTAACGCTGTTCATGGGTAGGTTGTGGCCAAACCTGTGGAAATGTTTCTTTTATAGGTTCCGGTTCGGGGACAATATAGCATTTGGAATGCAGAACACGCGCAATAGAGTTCACTCTTTGCGTGTTAACAAAACTAATTTTTTTAAATTTTCTTTTTAAGGAAACACCGACGGGAACAAACGATTTCCCAAGAGACTTAATTTGGTTAAATTTGATTTATATTTCTTGAAATGATTTTGGTATTGTGTTCAAGGATAAATAAACCCGCGTGGGTTATGTGAAGGGTTAATACCAGAGCTGTCGTGTTGGTTACCATTCATAGAAACAAGTAACTTCGGTTCTGTTTTCATGAGAGAAAAAAACCAGGTACAGAATGACAGCTTGAAGTGTATGGGGGGACTGAAACTTCTTTAGTGGAACAACAAGTAACAATTCGACCTTGAACCTTGAAGTCAAGTTACAGTTTATGACACCGCTTTTAACCAGCTCGGACTCACCAATCAACTCTTCATGAATATGATGTTTCGTTAATTTGGAATATCAAGGATTTCATATACGCCGAGATTTCCTGCGCCAGATTACAGGCCAAGCTATGGGCGATACAATCTCCGGTCAATAATACACGTGATTGGGTAATTATGCCGTGTAGATTGAAGATGTTATCTTATCCCATGGTCAAGCGAATGGACATCGGCGTTGTGGTCATTTTGACCAGTCTTCTGTCATCTTCAATCACTCACGGACAATCAGGTGGGTATTTTGCGAACATCAATGAGATTTTGTGATTTAGATAGTTCATACAGGCATGTTTGTATTAAGCTATTCAAACAGTGACTTATTTATCAAGTGTAAACAATGTTTCGCTAAATTAAAGAAAGGCGATGTCAGTGATAAATAATTCAAAGGAATCTGAATTCTGGCGGCACATTTAGGACACATCCTGCTGCATCGTGAACGGCAGCAGGGAAACAAGACTAGTTTTGTTTGCGGGTTTTATTATTGAAACTATTGAACGGTAGATCGAAATATGAAACAAAGCAAAATGCTTCAGCAGAGGTCGTAAGATGGAATCAGAAATCCATGTTCTCGATCCTGGTCCTTTAAATAAGAACTTTGATCAGTTTTCAAATATAAATTTTTTCTTAAGACGTTTCAATTCAGCATTTTAGTCGTTGCCAAATATTTTGAGATTATTGTTTACATCAAAACGGCGTCTTAAAAGCAACTTTTTCCTCAATTTCCGAGTTTAAAGATCGGCGGGTCTGAAAGACCAAGAACAGAATGTAAGACCTACCATGACGAATTAGAGCTCCCTACCCCAAAGTCAATTATTTAAATACTTCACACTGCCGAAATCACTATAAACGGATATAAAAAAACTGTGAATAAAAAGAAACAGCCGTAAATTTACATGATACATAAGCCACTTCGTTAGCGAAATTGCAACTGTGCATCTTTCCAATCTATGTTTTTTACAAATCTGAATCCATCCAATTGGACTCCAAAGTCAGCTTGTTAAATAAAAAGCTCACACTGACGCATTTATTACACAAACTTCTCACACTGTTGGGAATTCTATGACTGTTGACGTAATGAGATGAACTCTTCCACAGTAACTCCTCGCGCCCATGTTCCAATGTCTGGTTATGTAGCTCACCCTTATCACCGAGTAAACTGCTCATCTGCCGCCTCAGATGAACTCCTATATAACCATCAACGATTTGGAACAAAACGTTAACACTCTCTAACTACTTTTCAAATAGAATTAATTGATATCTCCTCATGGTTTTTCGATAGGTCAAACTAATGACCCGACGCTCATAGGCGTGAGGAAGTGTAATTACAATTTTATTTAGATTTCCTCGGTTTTGAAATATTATTTACATTTGATGCAGAGGTTAATTAATTTTTCAAGGATATATTTTTGTCTAATGGCGTTATGATTGATTTGAAAGGGAAAACAACAGACACTAGTGTTGTAAAAATATGACTTGCGTGATTTTGTTTTCTAAAACTCGAAGCTACTCCGCCTACCATAGATATGTTTTAACTTTCTAATCTACGTTTTTGTCATGCGTCTTTTTAAACCAACATTGGTCATTTGTTAGTAGCTATTATATTTTTTTTTGCAATAATCGATCCACGCTATCCCTTGATTAACAAAACCTAGAATACTAATGGCTGCGACTGTAATCAAACTAATGAAAGTTGTTTTTGACGAGGGTAGCTCAAAGACTCCTCAACCATCGTAATGAAACACCCACGCATGTATTGCAAAGAAATGTGCTTGGAAGATTTTACAGACCTGGGACACCACGAATTTATCTCCTTTTGTTTATTTTTTTTACCATAGATGTGTAGTCGAGAGCAAGTTTTGTTTGTTTGTTTGTTGTTTAACACAACACCCAGCAATATTGCAGCTATATGACGGCGGTCTGTAAATAATCGAGTCTGGACCAGACAAGCCAGTGATTGACATCATGAGCATCGATCCACGCAGTACGATGACATGCATCAACCAAGTCAGCGAGCCTGACCACCCGATCCCGTCAGTCGCCTCTTACGACAAACATAGTCGCCTTTTTACGGCAAGCATGGGTTGCTGAAGACCTATTCTACCCTTGATCTTCACGGGCCTCGAGAGCAAGTACTTCAGCCTATCTTTAATACTACATTCATACACATTATCTTAAGCTTGATATGAGAAAACGTATTTTCTTAGCAAGACTGATCACCATGACACAATATTTTTACGAAAGGAAATAACATATTTCCTTAGCAACATATAGATTTATAATATTGATTGTATAAGGATGATACATAGCATAATTATCCGAGTTTGTTTCCAAAGCGAAAATATCATTTATCGGGAATACAAAAAATAATTTTTTCGAGCCCGTGGCACGATCCATTTTTTTATTCCTGACTTATATTTACGATGCAAATACACTCTAGGGTAATAATATCTTTACCATGTCATGTTATTAACCAAATAACGATGTTTCAAGACGCAAATTTACTCACTTAAGAGACGCGTATGAATACAATGATGGCGTGAACCGTCCTATCTATAATATAGTGCAAATTAATATGAATATCCCACTCAGACACAGTATAGTGACTCCGAGCCGACCAGTCCTTGTTATAGCCCCTTAACGCCGTGTGCCAGGCAGGGTAACAACAAGTACCATCTTTATCATAGTTTGTTATGACGCGGCCGGGGATCGAACCCCGGACCTTCCGCTCGGAAGGGCGGACGCTCTACCACTAGACCACGGAGGCGGTCTGTACTGATGTGACCTAGAGTTGTTGACAACTGGACTGAGCGTTATCACCTGGGACATAAGTCTAGCGGCAGTTCTCATCGGGATTACGTTCACGTAACGCCATGATTATTCACATCCTGCTCGTCGCCAGACTTCTGTACCCAGAAAACGTCTCGACTCTCTGACCAATAGGCCTGGAATGAACTAATCATGCGCAATTCAGACTGGGACGTGGTCTGTTTCTTGAACAGAAAACATTACACCGTCCAGTAGCTTTCTTAGTTTTGAGGGATAGCTTGGTAACCATCCGTGTATATTTAACTAGACTTGTGGTATATTTACGGTAAACAAACTTCAAGTTCAAGGCAATTTCAAAGCAGGTATTGTATACGTGGATTATTGTATATTACTGACCAGTGTTCCGCTCCACAAAGCCATTTTAACGCTAAGACGATCGTAACGCCCAGGCTTAAAACAGTCGTAGCGCTAAGATCGCTTTGTGGACTCGTTCTACTGAATAATCTTTGGGCTACGGTTAGGTGTGGTGAGGTGTGGTGAGGTGAGGTGAAGTAGGGTGAGGTGGAGTGAGGTGAAATGGTGTTTGACATCGAGTTCAAAATTACACCTGTCTTTTTTTTCTTGATAAAGTCGGAATCGTACAATCGACTCTACTTTTAGCAGACATTTCTTATGAATATGGAAAGGGTCTTGTCGCTTGTATTTATATAGCACGTTTGCGTGCGTGCGTGCGTGCGTGCGTGCGTGTGTGCGTGCGTGTGTGTCTGCATGTTCTATTTCTGACATATGTTCGTTTCATAGTGCTAGCCCACTGAGACACAGTATACTGACTCCGAGCCAGCCAGTCCTTGTTATATCCCCTTAATGCCGAGCGCCAGACAGGGTAACAACAAGAACCATCTTTTAACGTCTTTTGGTTTGACGCACCCAAGGATCGAACCACCGACCTTAAGCTCTCCAAGCAGACGCTCAATCCTTTAGAGTACGGTAGCGGTCTACGAGGGAAGGTATTCTTGATAGGTATCGGAACCACCAGAGAACTAGAACCACAACAAGTTCATCATGATGAGAAGTTTGTAATAAACACCCCCAAACGGTATATGCCTAATGGGTTTAACTGAGGGAACACATACAGAATTAGCAGAACAGTATTTCAGTTCTACCACTGTGTGTCAACGTAATATGGTTGGGCGGAGGGGTAGCCAAGTGGGTAATGCGTTTGCTCGCCACGCTGAAGACCCGGGTTCGATTCCCCACATGGGTACAATGTGCGAAGCTTATTTCTGGTGTCCCCCGCCGTGATGTTGCTGGAATATTGCTAAAAGCGGCGGAAAACAATACTCACTCACTTAATATGGAAGGGACGCGTTTATTTGTGGGTGGGTGAGTTAGCCTGGTTTAACGCCGCTTTGAACAGTATTTCCATCATATGACGGGGTGTCAGTTTGATTTGGGAGGGAAGCCCGAAGTAATGCGATCTCAGACGTTTACAGCTCCGATGAAACCCACTACCACGCTTTGGTGCTGACAAATCTCGAAAAATCATCAAGGCGAAGTGGGATTCGAACCCCTACACAGGTTTGTTGCAGGGCCAAGGAGATTCGTCTTGCATCGAGATTAACGGTGCCTTAGACGACCTAGCACTGTTATGACGCTGACAAACTAAGGATCATAAGGATTATGAAGCTGTGATCTACCAACCAATTCCGGATCCTGGTACAACTAAGGGACTGAACTCTTCACATTCAATTGAACGCCTCATGCCACTGGAATCTTTCAGCAAAATAGCCATAAACACCTTCCATAAACAAAATGAGGCACAGAATAGAAATACTGGAATGTTTCCTTGGCTGTCAAACAATCTCTTTTTATTTTAAGGCAACATAACGGTAAAGCATGTTAAAACACAAACCTCTTATTTGCATAGCTTTGCTCTTATTTCTTTAGTGATTATATAATATAACAACTGGTCGTCAGTAAAGACAGTACAGTGTTTGTACAAGCAAGCGCAACTCAACATTGAGAGGCAAAAAACATAAGTTATTGGCCTTCAGGAACGAATTCTTGCACACATAACTTTCCCGTAATCCTCCAAATTGAGTAACTGTAGATCATCATCTCCCAAAAAATGACAACTGCTGGAGTTCCCTCATATTTCGTGCGCCAATGTTTGCCTAAAGCTATTTAACATCTCCTTTGTCTTCGTGTACTACCATGTATATTTAAGCACCCTCCCTAGATAGACGACTCACCTCCAAATGTCCGGTCTCCGCTCGTATTTCATATATCATGAAAACCGATCGAGCTCGGCTATTTCTTTACTTTGTCTCAAGGGAGACGAATTTCTTCTCGCGATAAGCGGCTCCGGGAGTGTTTTGCGGCTAGAAATGGATGGCCGTTTACGTGTAAAGATATAGCGCATCGTGTACCAGGATTTACGTATTGGGCAATAATAATTTCAATTCCACGAGAGCTTGGGGCCCAATTGTCGTCGAATTTACAACTGATTCGCCCCAACTCGCCTTGCTATTATATTTTTTGAAGAAAATCGACGTGAAAGAACTGTCATCAAAGCGGATTAATTGCCCGTAGCCTCCAAAGATCTCCCTAGAAGAGATAAATCCTTGGGATTCTCAAATCAACAGGCGGACAAAGCGGCTTTGCACACGGAATAGATGTAGCTGCAATTTTATGCAATTAGTGACTTAGCGGATGATGCCCACGTGGGATGAGCCATACTTTACTGAAATCGCGAGGGAGCGAGATTCCTGAACAGAATGATTTAAACACAATCTGATGTAAGTGGCGGACGATTTTGTCCGGATATATTTGATCAACGCTGATGAAATATTCACAAAAAAGTCCATAAAATGGAATTATATGCTGGTACCAATACGTATGCCGTTTTTTATTGGCTGGATGGCTCTATTGGGTACTCTATTGCTTCTCTGTTTGTATCGAGGCCCCAGGTCCACAAACCCATGTTATTGCCGCGGCATTCATAACTCCCGCATTAACACAGTTAACGTAGACATAGTCTGAGCGCTATAGTCGCTTTGTGAATTGTCGTCTCTAAGCGCAAAGCGATCGTAGCGTTACGCGAGTAAAAGTGTATTAGTCCACATTTCTATGTAGCAGTGTGTTTTTTGTTTAACGCCGCACACAGCAATATTCCAGCTATATGACGGCGGCATGTAAATAATCGAGTCTGGATCAGATAATCTAGTGATTGATATTATGAGCATCGATCTCCGCAAATGGGATACGATGACGACAATCAAACAATTGAGCGAGCCTGACCACCCAATCCCGTTAGTCACCTCTTACGACAAGCATCGGTTGCTGAAGACCAATTCTAACTCCGATCTTCGTGGGGATTTTCCAGAGAGACAAAGTATATACATTTTTGTCAGGAACAATTTATTTTTAAAAAATGATAAGCATTATGGTTTAATAAAAGAAAAATCACCATGGAAAAGGGTAGCAGTATGTCTCAGCGTATTTGGAAGTATTCTTCAGAAAGTTGTTTTCAGAAACAGAACTATCTTTATTTCAGGATACGTGACATTTGAGGGGGACATCACCATTGACGACCCCTTGACCTTCTACAGGCGAGGTGACAACGTGTCCTTCACCTTTAACGCCACCATTAATATCACAGATGTCATAGGCAGTGTGAACATTACTATCAGATCACCAACACTCAAGGTGGGTACAGCGTCTTGAGTTAGTGAGTGAATGGGTGTGTGAGTATTTGTGCACCCTTCTTGCAATATTCCAGGAATATCACGGCACCCATCTTCCCGAGGCAAGGGAGATAACTCACTTTAAAAGTCCAGTTTCCATCCTGGCCTAACTAGGCTGCAATTATGGAGTTATGCTTAGTCCAATCGAAATCGCGTAATAAAATCGACATCCGGTTCGTAAACAACATGGATTTCATAGTGCAGATTTCGATCGACTCCAGGATTTGCAAGGGATGTGTACCGTCAACTGGGCATCGACATATGTTTTGTGAAACTTTTCATGATATAAATCAAGGTGCTCTAGTGATTTGATGCACTTCGCGAAGTAAGACTCGTTTATTGCACTTTATTACAATATATATCTTGATCATCGATCAGATCTTCTTGACTGTGCGCCGCCATATTGTTTGGACTTTTATAGCCAGTTAACTCCCTTGCACGACACCATAAATAGGCTCGACACATTGTACGCATTTGGGGAATAAGGCCCCGGGCTTCAGCGTGACGTGTGGTCGCCTAGACCACTAGGCTACCCGACGGCTGACACAGGATACGTTAACGAACAACAACAGCTACTGTGATGCAGTATTTAACGATATACTGCAACAGTTACTGGGATGCAGTCTTTAACGATATGCTACATCAGCTACTGGGATGCAGTCTTTAACGAGATGCTACAACAGTAACTGGGATGTTGTCTTTAACGATATGCTACAACAGTTACTGGGATGTTGTCTTTAACGATATGCTACAACAGTTACTGGGATGCAGTCTTTAACGATATGCTACAACAGTTACTGGGATGCAGTTTTTAACGATATGCTACAACAGTTACAAGGATGCAGTCTTTAAAGATATGCTACAACAGTTACTGGGATGTAGTCTTTAACGATATGCTACAACAGTTACTGGGATGCAGTCTTTAACGATATGCTACAACAGTTACTGGGATGCAGTTTTTAACGATATGCTACAACAGTTACTGGGATGTAGTCTTTAAAGGTATGCTACAACAGTTACTGGGATGTAGTCTTTAAAGGTATGCTACAACAGTTACTGGGAAGCAGTCTTTAACGATATGCTACAACAGTTACTTGGATGTTGTCTTTAACGAGATGCTACAACAGTAACTGGGATGTTGTCTTTAACGATATGCTACAACAGTCACTGGGATGCAGTCTTTAACGATATGCTACAACAGTTACTGGGATGCAGTCTTTAACGATATGCTACAACAGCTACTGGGACGCAGTCTTTAAAGATATGCTACAACAGCTACTGGGATGAAGTCTTTAACGATATGCTACAACAGCTACTGGGACGCAGTCTTTAAAGATATACTGCAACTTACTGGGACGCAGTCTTTAACGATATGCTACATCAGCTACTGGGATGTAGTCTTTAACGATATGCTACAACAGTCACTGGGATGCAGTCTTTAACGAGATGCTACAACAGTTACCGGGATGTAGTCATTAACGATATGCTACAACAGTTACTGAGATGCAGTCTTTAACGAGATGCTACAACAGTAACTGGGATGTTGTCTTTAACGATATGCTACAACAGTCACTGGGATGCAGTCTTTAACGATATGCTACAACAGTTACTGGGATGCAGTCTTTAACGATATGCTACAACAGCTACTGGGACGCAGTCTTTAAAGATATGCTACAACAGCTACTGGGATGAAGTCTTTAACGATATGCTACAACAGCTACTGGGACGCAGTCTTTAAAGATATACTGCAACTTACTGGGACGCAGTCTTTAACGATATGCTACATCAGCTACTGGGATGTAGTCTTTAACGATATGCTACAACAGTCACTGGGATGCAGTCTTTAACGAGATGCTACAACAGTTACCGGGATGTAGTCATTAACGATATGCTACAACAGCTACTGAGATGCAGTCTTCGAAGCGGAGCCAGCTTGTCTTGCAGAGAGACACGTCCTAAACACTAATTTCAGAAACCGATCTGGATAATCAATAATTGTTTATTATATAAGGGGCTAAATACGATGATTTGTACATGCCTTTCACATCCTATACAAAACTGGCGCCCAAATGTGTTGACTTTGACATTAAGGGATTCCCGGAAAAGAACACGCAACGGAAAGATGTCAGATAAAAGTTACCAATGTCATTTCGGTCAGATTTTAAAAAGCGATTTGTATTATATGGATGTTCAATTTGAAGTAATAATAGTGAAGGAGAACGAAGATGTATTTTTATAAACAGACAACAGGGTGTTATTGACGTTGATTGTTAATTAGTGTTTAAAGGAACGAGCGGTTCACAATACCCGCACTTGCAAACTGATATCTGTTTTATTAACCGCTCCGGCTGCGAGTTTGATGAATGCATTTCATCAAAGTAAATTTGATAACTTTTTAAGCATGTGTGAAATGAAAGGTGTACTTTTTTCAAAGCAATGCTCAGCTCTTTGTAACATAACGCCTTTTGAAACTTTACAGTTTGCAGCATTTTACGACGGACAAAAACTCCGGATCGATATGCACGTGCAGATAAGAGGCGAGTTCCAATTGGTCGGATGTGTGGGGTGCTGCCCTCTATCGGGGAGTGCGAGTGTTGGCATGCCGGGACACGCTCTCCAATACACACCGGCTTGCCGAAATAGTGAAGCGGAATTATTACGATAATAGCCCACACATCTATTCGAGAAAATCATACTGCCGACACGTTCCAATTTCCTTCCAAAACTCCTGTAGATGAAAATCAATTTACAAAGCGACATTATAGTGTATAGTCATTCGGTAAAACGTTAAGAGACGCAGATGTAATAGGGGTCTACCGTTCGGGCACGATTTGACTTTCCAAGACTTCATTTGGGAATTAATTTCTATACATGAACACGTGATCATATTTTCAACTGATGACTATAATACAGTATTGCCAAGTAATTTTAACTCCGAGATAGTTAACGCCACAGATTCGTTTTGAAGATTCAACCCAGCTTCAGACTCAATTTGATTTCTTGCGAGTTTTCACAATGTGGGAATTATACAGGCATTTTAACCATCAACTTGATAACTAAAATAATTGAAAAACGCGAAGGTTAAAAACTACGACCTTCCTATTTTCTAATTATTCTCCGACGTGCCAGATTTTCTGTATTGTGAACAGATTTGGCAAATTGAACTATAAATCCCCACCGAAGTCACTAAACTATTGGTAATGTGACTGTAATTTGGAAAGAGTGCCGGTTTTTACCGTTTCAATTAAACTAGAATGTGTTACAAGAGATTTTATTCCTCGAGCGTTGTTCCCATAACCATAAATATGGGAACAGTTGAAACAGGGTCGGGGAGACTGGTTTCGACCATTGCAGTAAATCAGGCGGTCTTCACTGGAAGTACTGGAAGCCGGTCAAGTTGGCGGAACATCATCAACACCAGACGATATTGGACGCAACTGCCAAATAGGAAATCCTTCCTTACTCGGCACCCTTAATGACCTCCCATATCTCTGTGCACTCTCTGTCAACGATGTCAACGCGCAAATACCCAGATAATTATAGATCGGGGAATACCGTGAGGTGAAAATGGCTTGGGGGGAATTGGGAAGGAATGTACTGAGGATCCGTGTCTCGTGTTGCAATGAATACCTCGTATATAGTTAGTGGGGACTGCCTTAAATTACAGTGGTTTAAATGTCGAATGTTATGTGTCATGGTGTGAGTTAAAGTATTTCCATTCACGGGTCTCTATATCATAAGCTACGGTGTGTTTTCTATTTAGAACGCTGGTTTGCGTTCCAGACAATGTGGCTCTTCTTCCGGATCATAACTTGATAGGGCGCCATAGCCTGTCATACAGACCCTGAAACAAATATATCCAATACAGCCCATGCAAGTCTATAATATTTGGCAAGTCTAGATTACTGTAGTATCAGAAAATGAAGAGTCTGGGATCTCCTTTTAAATATAGTTTATAACTATAATTTCACAACTGTTTTTTCTTGTAAAATATGTTCATTTCGGAGACTAGATGTTAGTCTACGGGCGCCATTTTGTTCCAGATTACCATACTATCAGATACCATAATTCCTATTTCTTTATTCAGTGACGTGAGGATACCTGTGTATTGACGTCACGCTGGTGTGTCACGTACACGTAGGTCGACATGAGACACAGGTCTCTATAACATAGGTCGACACAAGCCTAAAACACCGGTCGACATATGCATTTAACATAGGTCGACATAAGTATTTAACATAGGTCGACATAGGTATTTAGCATAGGTCGACATAGGTATTTAGCATAAGTTGACATAGGTTTTTAAAATAGGCTGGCATAAGTCACTAAATAGGCCGACATAAGCCTTCAACGTAAGTCGACATGAAACTTTAAGGTTCTTATTATTCATTGGTCGATAATTATTCATTGTTCGAATATTATTCATAGGCAGACATAATGTCTATTCCTCCAAGTCAGGGAGAGTACAAAAATATGGTTAAAAAGAATTATTTACAACCAAGAGATGACTTCATTAAGTTGTAGAACACGTTTTATGCACTTTTTAACCTAGACCGACTTAAGTCTCTGAATATATTTTCAGTCAGTCTCTAGCCTGAATATATTTTCAGTCAGTCTCTAGCATACTCGACATATCTCTCCCACGCAGGTCGACATAGGCGTACTATTTACGCTTCTATCACACGTCAAGATAAATCTTTCTCATGAGTGAGTTTATAGGATTAACGCCATGGGCACATTAAACATCACTGCATCAATATGATTGGCGACAACAAGATTTGGGTTTAAACATCCTGAGTCATCCAATGGTCGAGCCTTGTTCGCTTCACGATTATGGTCTCCACTCTGGACTCTGCGGATGAATCCTCCACACCAACTGCAACCGCTGTAAACTCGAGTCGAGGGGTTCACAGTGTGTGCTACGATGTTTGAAAGGTCATATAACTCCTAATGCGAACGAGTACTGTTTGCTCATGTGATTAATCTGAATGATTTCAGTTCTCCAACTCTACACCCTCTGTTCAATGGACCCTAAACGGCCTTGAACTTGATTCTGACACTGGGTCAAAGCCTCTTATTGATTCCACCTCAAACACGGTAAGTCATCAGTCAATAAAAGCCGTGTCACTTTATAACTTCTACTAATATTGCGTTACTCACGTTATTGCAAATTATAAGCAGGAACATTCCAGGGGATGTGTGCTCAGTAATAGCTTTTGGTTTATTGCATGGAATTGCTATTACCACTAATATATTCTGTATGGCGATGCACGGTCAGGTGTGAGCTTTTGAAGTATTCCGGCACTTATTAGTGGAATTTGAAAACTTTTTCTGTCATTGTTGTTTGATGAAGGTTGTCGATGAAGCTGCGGACGTCGATGGCATGTACCACATCTTTCTTCTCAATGTCAAGGCCAACAAATGGGTCTTCAATGGGACATGCGCAATGACAGTTAACGGTAAATCAAAACGCCTAATCAAATCGTAGTAACGTTCACTTTTTGTTTTAGACACGTTAAGGTTAAATTAAGTCCTTGGACAACATAAACTTCAAAAGAAGATTTATGGCAAGCGTCCGATCTGTAAATATGCTTCAGTAGCTTATAGTTATTATAAGTTTTAATTTTCCAATTCTTAGCAGTTCTAACCGAATAATTCAGTACACAGTAGCATATTCCACCTCCTTTTCTGTGGTATCATACATTAAGTCGTTGTATTTGAATATTATTTTAACTCTAGTTTCTCTCAGATGACGTTGGTCCTGGTCGTCGTGTTCAGACGTTCCTGGACGTCGCGACCCCGATCCTGGAAGGGAACGCTACATCACTAGCGACCATATACTCCAACTACCGTTACACACCACCTTTACACGCGAAACTCAATCCCCCTCCGTCAAACATTATTGGTATACGGGAGACACTCGAAGGAAACGTGTCCTTGACCTTGACCGAGGATAACGTTGAACCTCTGGTCGAAATCATCACCGTGTACGAAAATACATCAAGGGAGGTAATGCTTACCATCACGGCCATGGATGTGAATGGTACTTACGGATTTAATGACGACGTCACTGACGTAATCACACATGTGAAACCGAGGCTCAAGTCAACGCTGAGCTCATATCAACGTGATATAGGGTCAGTTCAGTTACCTCTGTTGATTAGCAATGGGTCTGCTGGTTCCGGGGTTGCTGTAAAATTCGTGCTTCGACTGGAGGACTATGCCAATATGTCGGACGGGGACGTGTTGACCGTCGGCGCTGGGGTCAAGTTCGGGAACAGCATGATAATGATGTCAAAGATGAACCTGACCGTTAAGGCTCCTGACGCCGACAGCAGACGTCCTGACCTTGACCTTCATCTTACTACCTCTGCGGCCTGTGCTGGACAAGACACGTATTTTTTACCTTAAATCATTTAATCAGATTTACCTGCAACAAGAGGGGGGCATGGGTGGCCAAGTCGTCTCAGGCGCCGTGATTCGCTGTGTAGAGTTGCGTCCGTGGACACGCCAGAAACCTATGATTGGTTCGAATCCCGGTTCGCCCCGATTATGTTTCCAGGTTTGTCAGCACCATACCCGTGCTCGTTGGTTTCACCGAAGTGGTAAACGTCTGAGACCTGCATCACTTCGGGCTTTCCTCCCACATTAAGCTGATACACCGCGGTATAACTTGAATACTGTTAAAAGCGGCGTTAAACCCAACTCACTCACTACCTGCAACAAGATAAGGGACCAACAATCTTGGGGTCTGGGAATTTTTCAAGAGACAGGTTATGTTTCATTCTTCAAAACACGCATCTTTTCGGTGAATGAGAGAACCGAATAATATTCCACAACACATATTTTATCTGGACATCCACCCGTGAAGATCCGAGTTAAAATTGGTCTTCAGCAACCTATGCATGTGTCCCAATTAAAGATCCGTGTTAGACGTGTTATTCAGCAACCCATGCTTGTCGTAAGAGGCGACTAACGGTGTCGGGTGGGCAGGCTTGCTGACTTGCCGTCGTATCTCAGTTGCGTAGATTATGATGTCAATCACTGGATTGTCTGGTCCAGACTCAATTATATACAGACCGCCGTCACACAGCTGGGATATTGCTGAGTGCGGCGTTAAACAACAAACAAACAAACAAACAAATCTGGACATCCAACATGATCAGCGGACAATTAATTTTTTCTTGTAAAACCTGAGAAGATATTATTTCCCAGACTATCAGCTGGACCTCAGTCTTCTGAGGGTATCGGGGGCACGGGTGGCCCAGTCGTCTGAGGCGCCGCGATTCGCTGTGCAGAGTTGCGTCCCTTGGACACGTCAGAAACCTATGATTGTGGGTTCGAATCCCGGTTCGCCCCGATTATGTTTCCAGGTTTGTCAGCACCATACCCGTGCTCTTGGGTTTCACCGAAGTGGTAAACGTCTGAGACCTGCATCACTTCGGACTTTCCTCCCACATTAAACTGACACGCCGCGATATAACTGGAATACTGTTAAAAGCGGTGTTCAACCTAACTCACTCACTCACTTCTGAGGGTATCATTTACCTTACCTGACAGTGTTTAGAATCTACGTACATACAGGACTAAAAATAACACTGATATTTCGTCTCTTGGGCACGCCAGAATCCTATGATTGTGGGTTCGAATCCCGGTTCGCCCCGATTATGTTTCTGTGTTTGTCAGCACCATACCCGTGCTCGTGGGTTTCACCAACTTGGTAAATGTCTAAGACTGATCAAATCAGGCTTTCCACCCACATCAAGCTGACGTGCCGTGATATAACTGGAATAGTGTTGTAAGCGGCGTTAAACCCAGTTCACTCACTCACTCACTGATGTTTCTTTAGTCCTGACCCTCATTATCCGGACACACATACGCACACACGCACGCACGCGTAAATTACCGTATGCCATTCACGTCAACGTCTTCGTCAACTCTCCCCAGAAACTACGTGGACATGCAGGTGTCAATCGCTCATGGGGAAAAGTCTAACGCAACGGCGTACGACATTGAGGTCATCGTCTTCCCTCTGCCGTCCATGACGTTCCTCTCCGCCCCCGGGATCGCCCCCAGAGACTACTCATACCTCGTGACCGACACAGGCCCGTATCTCCGAATAACGGTCAGTGTAACTGAGAATACTGGTTTTCAGAATCGATCTACGCAGTTGGGACCATGTATTTTTGTCGATAAAATCCCAGGCAATTTTAAAGTGTATACTTTTTTTGCACGTCAGTGTATTTAAGATGCGTTTGTTTGCAGCATTATTCCCATTGAATCCTGCTGTACATTTCCTAATGCCATTGTGTAGGATGAATGTACAGCGAATGTGAAGGTTGAAATGCAATCCCTGGAATAAACCAAGGGTTATTTCTGTGTGTACCTTGCTTTGGCATTTATCAAATATGAATTTGAGATGTCATCTTCTAAATGCATTGACAGCTGCATCATCACGAATACTATAACTGGCTGTATATGAATCGTCCATGAGTTTTAGGATACATCTTACAGCCATCAAAGTTGCCCTTCCCTGCATCTGCTGAGTGAGTGAGTGAGTGAGTGAGTGAGTGAGTGAGTTATGTTTAACGCCACTTTTAACAGTATTCCTGGTAATTCACGGCGTGTCAGCTTGATGTGGGAGGAAAGTCTAAAGTGATGCAGGTCTCAGACGTTTACCACTTTGGTTAAACCCACGAGCACGGGTATGGTGCTGACAAACCTGGAAACATAATCAGGGTGAACCGGGATTCGAACCCACGAGCAGGCGTGTGTATGGTGCTCAATAATGATGATAATTCTGCAGTGGACAGTGTGTTTGCTTGTCGTGCCGATTTCGGAGTTCAACGTTCTGTTTAGCTAATTGGGTTCGAATAGTTCTTCAGCAACCCATGCTTGTCGTATTTGTATTTCTTTATTCATTTCGCACTTTAGGCCATCGGCCCGTTGTACATTTAGATAGTCAGGCCCACAATGGACATTAACGAGCTTCTTATATTTATGGCATGGAAAATATATAGTGAAAGTTTTTTCATGGTTTCAGGATGACATGATGACAACAATAGGTTAAATGTATGTAACGTAGGATGGACATGATATTTTCCTGGAATATATTTGTTTCTAAGATTATTACTTGTCGTAAGAGGCGACTAACGGGATCGGGTGGTCAGGCTTGGTGTTGATGCAGGTCATCGTATCCCAATTGCGTGGATCGATGCTCATGAAATTAATCACCCGAATAGATTACTAGATTATTTACAGACCGTCCTGGTATAGCTGGAGTAATGCCGAGTGCGGCGTTAAACAACAAAAAAGGCAAACAAAACATTTTTATCCAATTGTGGACACGGGCTGCCCAGTGATGAAAGAGCGACTTTCGCTAGGCAGAGTTGCGTCCCTTCGTATTCCTAGGATTCGCTGATCATGGGTTAGCACAATGCCCGTTCTTGGGGGTCCCACTTAAATCTACGACCTGCATTAACTATGGTTATGCGGCGTGATATTACTGAAATATTAATCACGGCGGCGGAAAAGCCCGTTCATTCACTTGGTGTGTCACAAGATCCGGCGTAATCACAGTTCAGTCGTTGGATTAATTTTTTTGTTCCGTTTTCATTTTTCTAAAAAAATTATCGGTTTTCAATCTTATTTTCAGCTTGGTCGATTGACGTTCAGCGACCCAGCCTTAATAGTGCTGAAGATGAGCGTGCAGATGAATGAGAGCAACGTCCGTGACGCCACCCACTACACCGTGCCCGCTCAAATCACAAACTTCAACGACCGTTGGGACCGCGGTGTCGATACAGTCGCGCCTTTGGAGTATTTGAGCGTCAAACTCAACAAGAAATGCGGTGCGTGGAGCCTTTGTTATTTAGAATGTGTGAAAGACGCTGCGTGGAGTACGCGCACAGAGGCAAGAAGTCGGTTTGGGTGACAAAGGAAAATGTGTGTCGAAATTTGTTTTACAAATACTTGGCACTGCCGCAGAATGCAAGTTCTTACGTATATGACTATATGCCACTTTGAAGTGTATTTCTGTGATATCCGCCTAATATGCTATATAAAACACAAGTGAGTGAGTGAGTGGATATTATGAGAGGATGGAGGTTTGGGGGAGGTGGATAAGTAAGTGTGTGAGTGGTTTTTTATTGTACGTATATGTGTTATGCAAGTGCCTGTGATTCTGATTTCCATATCTTATTTTAATATATATTATATTATCCATATTGGACTTTAGCCTGATGCATTTATACATGTTAAAAGAGTATAAATTCTAAACATGTTTGGATTATGGGTATTTTGTGTGTAGGTTATGAGGCGATAGCTAATTTTATGTGTTTAGACCCTAAACATGTTTAGGTAGAACACAACAAATGTGCATACCGTTTAGAATTTAAACACATTCCTAAACATGTCTGGTAAGTGTTTACATTCTTAATTATTTTACAGTGTTGTTTAAGTAGTGAATTATGCTAATTTAAAAAGTGATATTTACTAATCTTCAGCATCTTCTTGCAATCTACTAGGCAGGATAGTAAATGGGCTCTTTACTAACCTTCTGGCTGCAGTTAACTCACTAAACCCTTTTCTCAGTGCTACGTCATGCAGATTGTAGTCGGTACTATTTACCGTATTTACCGCGGGTACGGTAAACCAAGGCTCACAATAAGACAGAATCTGGCAGCTGAACCAATTACCAGCGGATCCTGACAAGGTTAAGGGACGCAACTCTACATTTTAGCTGCCTAGTAGTTTGTATTGAGCCACATGGTTCTCAGATACAGGCGCCAAAGCATTGTGCCAAGAATATGATTGTTTGTGATACAAACCTCCATATATCCTTCTTTAATAATCTATTTGATAAACGAAGACGTATTCGTGTTCATTCCGTGCCTGACATTTCTTCAGGATCGAAACAAAACGCCATCGTGTCTAATCGTTGGTTGGTTTGTTGCACTCAGCAATATTCCAGCTATATGACGGCGGTCTGTAAATAATCGTGTCTGTACCAGACAATTCAGTGATTAATATCATGAGCATCGATCCACGCAATTGGGATCGATGACATGCATCAACCAAGTCAGAGAGCCTGACCGCCCGATCCCGTTAGTCGCCTCTTACGACAAGCATGGGTGGCTGACGACCTATTCTACCCCGGATCTTCACGGGTCGTCTAATCGTTTGCCAATGTGATTATCCGGTTCTGTTGATCATTCAACATAGATCTAACCACAAGAGCTTGTCTGAATCACAGAACGTCATAATGTGATTAAAGACAAGAATGTGCTCAGTGCAGCGAGTCTTTTCTGTTCCGAGAGAAGGAATCGATATTTGTGTTTTTTTATCAATCTTAAGCTCGTTCATCTGAATCATGTGATTACACGAAGTCCATTTCATTGTAGTTGCAAATGTACACTTTCTTATCATTAATTGCTATGCTATTCCATTTCCGTTATTATGTCTAAAATATGAGGCAGACGGAATCAGGTATTATACATTATTCCTGAAATGGCAGGTATTATACCTTTCTGAATACCGGTTAAGATTCGTCTTCAGCAACCCATGCTTGTCGTAAAATGCGACAGGGTGGTCATGGTTAATTTGGTTGAAGCATGTCATCATATCCCAATTGCTTAGATCGATGCTCATGATGTTAGTCTGGTCCAGATACGATTATTTACAGACGCCGTCATATAGCTGGAATATTGCGAAGTGTTAAAGAAATAAACACAGATATTAAAATAATAACCGATCATACGTGTTAACTGTAACATATATAAACAAAGATCACCGAATTAGATTTGCAATGGACATCATGGACAGAAATTGTATGGCCATATGTTCTCGGTCTCGCGATAGCTTCAATATGTTACATTGCATCTGACTTCCTTCCCAGCTGAGCGTTACACCTGGACGTATGGCTCTTCGTGCACGTGCGCGTTCGACTCCAACAGGACCGACTGCGGCTGCTGCATCGATCACAACTCCGTCAACGTCGTCCAGTGTGGAGAGGTCAACCCTTCTCTGTGTGTTCCTGACGATCGGCGGTGGCTCTGCTCCAGGTCCACTCGGGGTACGTCTCCAGATTGACGTGGTACATGTCTTGTGGTCGTTCTGTTAGTTCTAGCTACGTGATAGAGTCAGTGGCTATGGTATTACACCGCTTTTAGCAATATTCCTGCAATATTACGGCGGGGAACATATGGCATTGGCTTCACATATGTGGCATGGAACCAGGGTCTTGGCGTGAAAAGCGAGAGAGAGAGAGAGAGAGAGAGAGAGAGAGTAGTAAGTGTGGCTGTGTAGATGGATGTGGGTATAGGTTGGACATTGCGTTAACAGGATGTGACAAGTCATCATGTCAATCTCTGGTCCGGTTCAGAATCGATTATTTCAAGACAGGCGTTAAAAAGCTGGAAATTTGTTGAACGAGTTTAACAAAAGTATGCAGAACATCTTGAACTGTCCCTACTAAGAAAACGACCAATGGAGATAAATCACATTAGAAAATCGAAGAGGACGGCTGCACTGCCTGTACGTTCGAGTCAATTTATCGCGTGTTCAATCAATATTGGATGGACTGTGTCCCAGGTACTGCAGCTCACCCTTCCACTTGAAATAGCATCAACCAAAAGTAATTTGACTCCTGCTTCGTTTGACAGACAATAACTCAAGTGGTAATGCATAACATTAAATGTGATCTACACCATAGCATGGATAGTTAAGGATATAATAGGTTCGGGTCATTCTGAATAAGCATTTTAATCTACAACCCTTCCAGTAAATCTGATTAAATGGTGTCTCGTTGACAGGAAGATTTGTCTATACAATTTATTTTCAAAGCGACATACCAGCATTAACTCCTCTGTGACTTTAAAGGAGGGATAAAAAACGGAATAATCCTTTCTAATCCAAAAAACTAGTTCGAATTTCATTTTTTAACAAGTTCTGGGAAATTAAACCGTTTTTCTAAATTCTTCCCGTTGTCCCCACTGTGTGTAAGAAATAATTTCTTCAGAAACAATTTCTCCGATTTCTCATTTGTGCAACTTGGTTTTGTTAGATCTCGCTTCAAATTATCTGCCTTTTTGCTTTAATTATTTTCATTGTATATTTTTCTGTGGGTCAACAAAGGTAAACGGTTCGGTGGCGGCTCCTAGCGGCGGTGTGAGGAGTTGTCGCCGTTATGTCTGACGATCAATCGCTATGCACTTGGCCATATTGAGAAGGACAGCACATATCTGGATGTGAAATTGTTTCGGATATAAGCACGGGGAATTGAACCAGTTTTTCGGCAATTTCAACACAATAAACACGAAGCAGAAAACAGACTATCTTGCTGTTCCGCACAATTGGGGATAGTTTTTACCAAGAAGAGCGCCGGGCAGTCGCACTTCTCTCATGATGAAAACCATTCGGCAAAATTGTGCAGCTATCGCTTTTCTGATCAATCTGGAGTCTTCTCGATCAAGTTTTTTGTCTCTCTCATACGTGATTATGTCACAAAACATGCCTTGAAGAATATCCGCTCTCGGTCCGACTTTGAGAATACGTGATAATTTCAGAGTTGAAAGTGGAAAGTTGAGTCTTTGCTGTGGTAGCAATAGCGGAAGGTTTTATATCGAACCAGCAGAAAATGCCTCAATGCAAACAAATAAGTATCGTCGTTTAGGAGTCAAGAATATGATACTGCGTCCAGAAATAACACTTTGAAATAAGTAGCTGATGTTGAAAATATTTAACGCGAAGTGACGTGACGCACTTTTGCGAGTACACAGTAGGCACACACGTAACGTCACTAAGGTGAAGGCCACATGACTACTGCGTATGAAGCACGTCGTACTCTTTTTGCTGATCGGTTAATAGGTTAATAGGGAGGAGATAATATGGATCATTATGCGCTGGTAAAGAACGAGTCTGTTGACAAAATGTCCGGGGACGTTTAAAAGTTACTTTGGAAACACACTATAGGACACCTTTGATTATACAGCATATTATATATTATATCTCCATTTCATTATGGGGGCGGTCGGGTAGCCTAGTGGTTTAAGCGTTTGCTCGTCACGCCGAAGACCCGGGTTCGATTCCCGACATGGGTACAATGTGTGAAGCCCATTTCTGGTGTCCCCCGTCGTGATATTGCTGGAATATTGCTAAAAGCGGCGTAAAACCATACTCACTCACTCACTCCATTTCATCATGATATTCATACCCGTTTTGCCCCTGACATCTCCAGTTATACATGAGACGATACATACCAACAAGGGTAGATTACTTGTGGCAGCATTACTTTCCCTGTACGGAATTCCATAGCCTTGCTCCAAGCCTGTACTGAAAGATAGGTCCATGTGTGTATAAAGTAAGTCTATCCTAATAATAGGCAAGTCTAGATAAGCTCGCCAGTCTCTTATAGGGACAGCTTGTTCATACCATTTATATAATCTAGAAATAACATCAGTAATGTTTGCCTCAGAGGCTTTTGAAAGTCTAGTAGTTCATGTAACCAATATTGTGTTATTTGATTGGATAGTTATTTTTAGTGTCGTGTTATTCGAACTGGTGGCGAATAGGTCTGGGGTATTTGTCTTAATGGATTGGGGATATGGCAGTCTGGATAATGGAGGATGGTTTTGGTTGATTCGTCAATGTGTGGGGGTTACTATGCGTCTTTGAGCCCTAATAAAGCTCACCCTGTTGACGAGTGAGTGAGTGAGTTGGGTTTAACGCCGCTTTTAACAGTATTCCAGTTATATCGCGGCGTGTCAGTTTTAATGTTGGAGGAAAGCCCGGAGTGATGCAGGTCTCAGACGTTTACCACTTCGGTGAAACCCACGAGCACGGGTATGGTGCTGACAAACCTGGAAACATAATCGGGGCGAACCGGGATTTGAACCCACAATCATAGGTTTCTGGCATGCCCAAGGGACGCAACTCTGCACAGCGAATCGCGGCGCCTCAGACGACTGGGCCACCCGTGCCCCTATTACGCTTAAGCTTGGATGTCCTGGCAGTGGTTTGTTTTCATATCATGGCGTGCCAGCTTTGTATCAAAGGGAAGCGACCAAGGTCTAAGACGTTGCCACTTTGAAGTGTATTTCAGTGATCGCGAATCGCGGCGCCTTAGACGACTGGGCCACACGTGCCCCCCCCCCCCCCCCCCCCCTCTGTAGACGAACTTGAAAAAGAACTGTCAAAGTTAGGCTAGAAACACGTGGTATTTAGGGAATGTTCTTTTATTATAAGGGTTCTATAATAAATGACCAGTCCCTTATTAGTAAATGAAAGTATTTCTTTCTGATTCGTTAATAGTTACAAGTTAATACAGCTAGTTGTGCCCCGGTAAAGTTTGAAGGACGATTTAAAGTTGGTAGCTTGTGTTCCTCATTTTTTTTCATCGTAGCGGCTCGTGATATTGGAGTCGCCATGACTATCACTGGCACCCCTGTGGCTTGAACATGACAGGCGTATGACATGGTATTGCTGAGGGTGTCAGGATTGTTCTAACCCCCTGTGGGCTGCTGGTGGTACCGTAGATTAGGAGTTGGTGTGGTGACGGTTGTTCTTTAGGGATCGCTTTACGTCGTGATGTGGAGACACTCGGGCTATTAGTGATGTATCGGTATCGCTTTGGTCGTGAGTCATCGTTCCACAATTACTTTGCATCACTAAGGTGTAGATTCGTAAGGGCGATGTCGACGAAATATTTTTTTTTGTAATTTCTGCTCGGCGAAAATGGGTGTTATATATTCATCAACATCATTCATTCCAGAAAGCATTTGATTAGCTGTAGGTGTCATATGAACATGTGCAATCTGTCCTTGCAGGATTTACCAATCGGAGCAAGATTGATGGTGTTAGTGGGGAGAGCTACGAGTGTGACGCCAGCCAGAAATACAGGTACCTCACATGCGGTAGACCGAGTACGTCACATGCGGTAGACAGCGTATGCCACGTTCTGTAGACAGCGTACGTCACATATAGACAGCGTACGTCGCATGTAGTAGACAGGGTACGTCACATGTAGTAGACAGCGTACGTCACATGTAGACACCGTACGTCGCATGTAGTAGACTGTGTACGTCACATGTAAACAGCGTACGATACGTGCAGTAGACAGCATACGCCACATGCAGTAGACAGCGTACGATACGTGCAGTAGACAGCGTACGTCACATGTAGTAGAAAGCGTGCGTCACATGCGGGACAGCATGTAGTAGACATCGTACGTCACATGTGGTAGACAGCGAACGTCGCATGTAGTAGACGGCGTACCTCACATGTAGTAGACAGCGTACGTCACATGTAGTAGACAGAGTACGTCGCATGTAGTAGACGGCGTACGTTACGTGCTACGAATGGAGCAAGTGATATCGTTTTTCACTATTCTTCAAAGGGAAACACGTAACAATAACAACAGAAATAATAACAATAATGATAATATTTTCAGCCGCCAACCAAACTCTCAGACATCTTGCTTCAAGGAGTCCGCTGACGGTTTCAGAGGTACGGCTCGGACCATTTGACTTTCCTGGTCTGGTGTTTTCTATTTTTTAAACAAGAGTGATTTGTCCCACATAAACGTAATTTGTCGTCAAGTATTAAAAATATAATTTTTTTTAAATGTTCACTGGAATCCTGAACTGAAATAAGTTGTGGGTGCCAAAACTGTATGTTTTGAAGGGGTGATTGAACAATTATACCTCAACTAAACACACCCATTCTTCTTGTATTAATACTCAACTTTCAATAAATTCAATTGTCTATTCTTAATAGAGTCTTGGTCAGGAAAGCACTCATTTATAAAATGAGCAAAGATCCAACGAAATTGAAAGTCTAAGTTCGTGCTTGGATTATCGGTACAATAGAAATGAATTGCCTTTATTTGTATTGTAATATCACATCAGCGTCCCTTCTTTAAGATCTCAAATATTGTATTCTCCGTGGTATTCTTTGTCACTTTAATTCACAGAAATCCACCCAATCGTTGGTGTTATAGTAGGGAAGGACGCGGCAACTAACACCCTGTATGGAGTTTCCAGTACCGGAACTGCTCACATTATCAGCGAGGATGCTGGGAAAACGTGGTATACGATCCGAGAAAGTGTCTTCCTGAGAGCAAGTTCTGCCGCCTCGTATATATCCGCCGCTCTCACCTGAATACCCTGTGTCATTAATCATAATTAAACATTTATTTTAGATTCTTACACACGAAGGCCCTGTAATTGGATAAAAATGTCTCGACCATGTGTAAAATAGAATAAATTCACTTCCATTGCTGACTGAAATTGATTATTTTATCAAAGATAGAATCAATCACATTCTAGAATATAATGGCGATCTTTGAATATCCAGATTTGTATTTTGGGTAATTCTATCAACTGAGCTTTCTTCAGTTACAATTATGTTCAACCGTTCTGCGACAATGGAACATTATGACCGCATATTTATATACACTCCCTAAAAGAAAATTTCAGTCACCCCCCGGGTTGGTGTGGGTGTGGGTGTGGGTGTGGGTGAGGGTGTGGAGTGTTCTGGACTTCTTTCATAAAACGTGTGTATATTATGAGCCACTTAACACAAAATAATCTTTGGATATTTTCCTTTCAAAAACGTTGTATCTGCTTTAGCACACAAATCAATCTGGGTCCTGTTCCTCAAAGCGATCTTAGCGCTACGATGATCGTAAACCTCTGTTAAAGTATGGGAATTACGGTCACCTTAGTGCTAAGATCGCTTTGTGAAACGGGGCCATGGACTACACATGAACAGTTACAATGTTAACGAAGTACAAATATGTGGGGTATTGTACCTCCGGTGTTGTATTTCAGAATGGAAGTCTAAAACGCCTCAAATATGACGAATCAGCTTGCTTGTTATTACATTATGCAAGCTGGACGATCGAGCCGATGCGAAGGCAGGGAGAGTGTGGATGGTATAGAGCCGATGCGAAGGCAGGGAGAGTGTGGATGGTAAAGAGCCAACGTGAAGGCAGGGTGAGTGTTGATGGTATAGAGCCGATGCGAAGGCAGGGAGAGTGGTGTGGATGGTATAGAGCCGATGTGAAGGCAGGGAGAGTGTGGATGGTATAGAGCCAATGTGAAGGCAGGGAGAGTGTGGATGGTATAGAGCCGATGTGGAGGCAGGGAGAGTGTGGATGGCATAGAGCCGATGTGAAGACAGGGAGAGTGTGGATAGTATAGAGCCGATGTGAAGGCAGGGAGAGTGTGGATAGTATAGAGCCGATGTGAAGGCAGGGAGAGTGTGGATGGTATAGAGCCGATGTGAAGTCAGGGAGAGTGTGGATGGTATAGAGCCGATGTGAAGGCAGGGAGAGTGTGGATGGTATAGAGCCGATGTGGAGGCAGGGAGAGTGTGGATGGCATAGAGCCGATGTGAAGACAGGGAGAGTGTGGATAGTATAGAGCCGATGTGAAGGCAGGGAGAGTGTGGATAGTATAGAGCCGATGTGAAGGCAGGGAGAGTGTGGATGGTATAGAGCCAACGTGAAGGCAGGGTGAGTGTTGATGGTATAGAGCCGATGTGAAGACAGGGAGAGTGTGGATTGTATAGAGCCGATGTGAAGACAGGGAGAGTGTGGATGGCATAGAGCCGATGTGAAGACAGGGAGAGTGTGGATGGTATAGAGCTGATGTGGAGGCAGGGAGAGTGTGGATGGCATAGAGCCGATGTGAAGACAGGGAGAGTGTGGATGGCATAGAGCCGATGTGAAGACAGGGAGAGTGTGGATGATATAGAGCTGATGTGGAGGCAGGGAGAGTGTGGATGGTAAAGAGCCAACGTGAAGGCAGGGTGAGTGTTGATGGTATAGAGCCGATGCGAAGGCAGGGAGAGTGTGGATGGTATAGAGCTGATGTGGAGGCAGGGAGAGTGTGGATGGCATAGAGCCGATGTGAAGGCAGGGAGAGTGTGGATGGCATAGAGCCGATGTGAAGACAGGGAGAGTGTGGATGATATAGAGCTGATGTGGAGGCAGGGAGAGTGTGGATGGTAAAGAGCCAACGTGAAGGCAGGGTGAGTGTTGATGGTATAGAGCCGATGCGAAGGCAGGGAGAGTGGTGTGGATGGTATAGAGCCGATGTGAAGGCAGGGAGAGTGTGGATGGTATAGAGCCAATGTGAAGGCAGGGAGAGTGTGGATGGTATAGAGCCGATGTGGAGGCAGGGAGAGTGTGGATGGCATAGAGCCGATGTGAAGACAGGGAGAGTGTGGATGGTATAGAGCCGATGTGAAGGCAGGGAGAGTGTGGATAGTATAGAGCCGATGTGAAGGCAGGGAGAGTGTGGATGGTATAGAGCCGATGTGAAGTCAGGGAGAGTGTGGATGGTATAGAGCCGATGTGAAGGCAGGGAGAGTGTGGATGGTATAGAGCCGATGTGGAGGCAGGGAGAGTGTGGATGGCATAGAGCCGATGTGAAGACAGGGAGAGTGTGGATAGTATAGAGCCGATGTGAAGGCAGGGAGAGTGTGGATAGTATAGAGCCGATGTGAAGGCAGGGAGAGTGTGGATGGTATAGAGCCAACGTGAAGGCAGGGTGAGTGTTGATGGTATAGAGCCGATGTGAAGACAGGGAGAGTGTGGATTGTATAGAGCCGATGTGAAGACAGGGAGAGTGTGGATGGCATAGAGCCGATGTGAAGACAGGGAGAGTGTGGATGGTATAGAGCTGATGTGGAGGCAGGGAGAGTGTGGATGGCATAGAGCCGATGTGAAGACAGGGAGAGTGTGGATGGCATAGAGCCGATGTGAAGACAGGGAGAGTGTGGATGATATAGAGCTGATGTGGAGGCAGGGAGAGTGTGGATGGCATAGAGCCGATGTGAAGACAGGGAGAGTGTGGATGGTATAGAGCCGATGTGAAGACAGGGAGAGTGTGGATGGTATAAAATCGATGTGAAGGCAGGGAGAGTGTCGATGGTATAGAGCCGATGCGAAGGCAGGGAGAGTGTGGATGGTATAGAGCCGATGTGAAGGCAGGGAGAGTGTGGATGGTATACAGCCGATGCGAAGGCAGGGAGAGTGTGGATGGTATAGAGCCGATGTGAAGGCAGGGAGAGTGTGGATGGTATAGAGCCGATGTGGAGGCAGGGAGAGTGTGGATGGTAAATACGGCAACAGCAGCACGTTAACCTGATTATAATGCCGGTAATAAATAGCGGACTGATAAGAAGTTGGAATTTTATACAAAATTCGAGGTGTAATATTTAATTCCGGTTTAGAAAGTGCCCACTGTGCATGGCAGGGACGGGGCGTACGGACCTCTGTAGGCTTGAGATGTATATCAAAGTGGATGATTAAATCAATGGAATGATTTATGTGTAACGTAATCATCCTCTCTATCAGGAGTAATACCATCAGCTTAAACCCTCAACTCATTTACATAATGAACACAGCTTGAGCAAATCCATGGCTGTCGAACAATAAAAATGTCTCACTACATTATAGCAAAACACATCTTCTCTAGACAAAAACTATACGGTTATTAATCCCAAAAGATCCGAATCTTTCCGGGTGCAATGAAGCGGACAAAACAGTTAGATAGATGGATGAAGAAGCAGATGATTATGAAAGATTTAAAAAGTTAGCCAGCGTAGCCGACGGCTAAATAAGTAATTGACAACGTAAAATTTTAATGAGGTTTTGCGACTAAAGGCTCAATCTAAACCCATTATTTTACTTAATTAGGGGATTTACTCGAATGCAATATGCGAAGTAATTTATCATAGAATCAAAACATTCACCACTTGTGATTTTATCAAAGAATATTTCAGAGAAAATCAATAACGTGGCGTTTTCCACATGTTGCATGGACGAGCACCTTGTCCTTCTACAGAGACCCAATAGCTCATTGTGACACATCAAACGTAATTTTTTAAGACATTTTGTCACATGAGCGAGCTGGGTAGGCTCAGCTTTCAGCCACGAGTGAGTCAGCCAGAATTTCTATTGCCTGTAAGACCATCCATAGCTTTCCTCAGTCCTCATAACAGTTTACAAGATACTCCCGGATCTCTTTTAGCGGTCCTACGGGAGCCGTGTTGTGACATCGTTGTCAGTGGATAATACAGTAGGCCCACGGTATACTTGATCACGACTGCTGGATGACAACATCGACCTCTAGAGACTCTGCTTCAGTTTATGTAGGCTCCAAGATGGAGGACACATCGTCGTAGGTCAGGAAAAAAATATGAGAGCTGTTTGGAAAGAAGTTGGAGAACTCGAGTACAGAGAGACGAGAATTTAGCTGTTGTGATGTCCTTCAGAGCTTAACGATAAGAAGAAAATATTCATGACGATGTTCGGTGTAATTTTAAAGGCTGATAAATCACGAGAGACTTGTGTCTCATATGGTAATAAAAGCGACAAAACACTTTCCATATTCATAAGAAATCTCTGCCCTAAGCTGAGTCAATTGTACGATTCCGACTATATCATGAGCATGTGTTAACGCATCACTTTCACACACGGCATAGCTGTTATTTAAAGTATTTATTCCGTTTGAAATATTGTTTGAAATACATTTCCCCGCCGTGACATTGCTGGAATAGTGCTAAAAGCGGCTTAAAACCATATTCACTCACTCACGTTTTGAAATACGAAAGGCCAAACATTTGTTGTTGTAAATGCTGTTTTGTGGAGAAAAAACAACACATTTTTCATGTTTTTGTGTTTATCGAGCGTGCATAATACAGCTTGGGTTGTATATTCCCCAAGGAGCTGAGAATGATAAACGAGTATACACTGATCCCTTGACCGGGGTAATAATATTAGCGCTTTGAGCATGCTCCGTGCGTATGGGGTCTTGCGCACTATAAGTACACACAATATTTTTCATTATGGCTTGGTACGGGCTATTCGTAAGTGGGTGCCCTCAATGATAATATCGGAATCAAGTTTGAGCTGACAATCCTCTTCCCCTCCTTATCTGATGAAAACACATTCATCATATACATAAGTGACTATGAAATAATTGAATGATATGACCGGATCTATATAGTATATCTACGAATTCATCCGCAGTTGGGAGCTGTGGCGATTTACTTAGGCGTTGAATGTAGCCAATCTTACGTTAGATTGCGCACTTCTTCATATAAGTGTTGGCATTGGGTGATAGGAGTCAGGGCGATCCTCACGTTGTGATACGGCCTGATCCGAGCGCATTTATATCGAGAACTATTTAATGTAGCGGAAGAAGACGGATTACTTGTCTGAGCACGTAAG